CGTCGTCAGCGGTGCAGGGGACTCAATCGCCGTGGCCCCCTTCTCCCTCCTGGCTTCAGCCCCTCGCCATCCCCCTTTGTCTTCTCAATGCAATGTGGGCTGATTACCTTTCAGCCGCCCCAGCTTTCTGTTACCCCCCAACTATTATCAGGCCTATCCCAACCTCTCTTTATCAATCCATCTTGCTTTGCTGTTTTTAAACTACACCACATACAACAACCCAATTCTTTATCTAAAATTATTGTCATACTGTGTACAATTGTATAATTCCTTTAAAGCACCTCAGCAAAAGCACTATATAAATCTCATTAAGATAATATAAGATGGTTGTACTACAGATCTAGTCAGTTATTCTTCCACCTTACATCCACACGATCACGGAAGAGCACCTTCAATCAACATACTGCTACTGATGTTGGGTATCGAGCAAATCCCTGGACCAGGGCTCCTCAACTTTGGATTGGTCAACGCACACACAATAGTCTACAAGATGGCGCTGATCCAGGATCTGATCAACGATTGTGGACTCGGCATATTGGCTGTTACCGAAACCTGGGCAAAAAATGACTCAGCAGGTGTAATTAATTAATGTGCCTGCACCTAAAGGATACGCTATTGTACATCAGCAACGTCGTTGAAAGTCTGGCACTGGCAGCCTGTATGGTTGAGGGATTGCACTGATTCACCGTGAAGACATCTGAATGGAAGTTCTGAGCGACTCATCAACAATCAAGTTATTCGAGCTGCTGCTTGTGAAAATAATGAAAAGCATGCGTTGGATTACGATCACTGTCGTCTATCGACCACTGTCCTCACCGCTGTCAAATTTCTTTTCCGAGATTTCCAGTCTACTCAACTGTGTGTCACTCGGCTCTCGCTACATCATCTGTGGTGACCTGAACTGTACTGGACCAACCAGCTCTTGTTGTAAAATTAAGTGATCTTGCTAACATTATCGACGGTCACAATTTAACTCAGAACATTAGTGGCACAATATGTCACTCGGGATATATACACAATCACATCTTCACATCCGCCGATGGAGTAACTAAAACTGTGACCTACGTTGTTATCCAATACGTGGGTATTTGAGAACACAGTATCATGACGTGCAAAGTGGTCTTACCAATTATTCGCCCACCTATCACGATATCATACCGAGACTGGACATAGTTGGACCACGATGCTTTTCTTCAGAGGATCTGGTCATCATCGGCGTGTCTGAATCCTGCATCGATGGTCGATTCATTTTCAGCTCAATTTGAAAATTACATCACTGCTCTTCTTGATGCACTCGTGCATCAAGAAGAGCAGTGATGGTTGGACGAGAGCGTCCAATTCGCTTACAGAGCCACCTGAAGATCTGTCAACCGACTCATTATTGAGTCTATCAGATTTTTATATGCTGTGCACATCAATGAGTTGGCTTGCGATCCCCGTTTTCTGTGGCGTGTCGTGAAGGGTCTGCTGCACTCCAACCACCCATCAACTAGTCAGCCAGGTCTGTGCACAGTACTTGCAACGTTCTTCGGCAATAAAAAAAAAGTGACGATCAAGACAGCATTTTCTAACTCTAAGGCAATGCATTTTCCTGGTCTTTTATCTGAGTTTGATCAACCGGGAATCAATGCAAAACTCGAGACCCTGGCACCAATGTCGGTGGCAGAGATGTCGTTTATTGCACAGCTGCCAAATAAATCATCGCCGTTCGACTACATCCACAGGCCAGTTCTAAAATCATGCTCGGACATGCTTGCGCCGCTGATTCTCCACCCGGCTGTTTCCCAGACCAGTTAAAAATGGCACAGGAAACACCAGTCCTGAAAAAAGTCATACGTTACCCCACACACCATCACCCGATTTCAAACCTGTGTATCATTTCAAAGATCATAGAGTGCCTTTGTTTGAAGCGGTTACTTCCCCATGTCGCTGCATCAGGCAGATTGAACCCATTACATTCCACATACCAAAAGTTCTACAGCACTGAGACGGCTCTTTGAAAGGTCACTGATGAACTCTACAAGATCATGGATACCCAATGGCCTTGATCTCTTAGTTAGTCATGGATCAGCGTTCACGTGTAAACACTCATTAAATGGCTGAAACCACCTTACAATACCACAAAGCAAGGCAATTATAGATAGTTGTCTGAAGCTCGTTCGCACCTCTGCGTCATTCTTTGTAAAAGTGAGCGAATACTGTGCGGTGCGTTATTATATTGCCATTATTTTGGACAGATTAAGCAAAATTACTTCATGTTTTATTCATACGAGTTCCTCAGACCTTTGTTTTAAACCAACAACAGCACCGCTATCACTGGCTGCGCACTGTTCCACTGGTCACTATTGGTTAACCGTATTTCATGGCTTCAGTGCAGAAACTAAAACAACAATGATAATGATCCACTGCTTAGTGCCAGTCATTGATGCTTACAGCTCTAATGACGAAGAGGTGATGTAGTGAAGATTCGCAGAGGGTGTCAATGCGAAAAGATGAATACTACGAGCACACGCACACAGGTTGTGATGTCAAGAAGGAATTTGTCTGTCAAGAAGGAGCCTGTCTGGAAAACGCATCAGCTAACCGTCAGTAGCTGAAACAATTGCTCAATGACTCGCCCATAAGTGGACTGCCCCCTTTTCACCACACACCCGAGACACATTTTCAATCAGCCTAGATCTAATAACTGCGCAGTCTACCGTGATAAATTTCAACACAATAACACCAGATATTGGGACAAATCGATTGCTGCCAGCCAAACACATGGCAATTTCCACACGGTCAACCCTGGACAGGTGGCAACCGTACCCATAGGTACGTATGGCCATGCAGCTGGGGTCAGGACTCGTACTGGAACTGAAACGACTACATGACCTGTAGCGGGGATATGATCTAAGAGATGTGGCGTTAGTCCGCCTGGTTACAATTCGGTGTATTTTCCATGAGGATTGCCCCAGAGCACAACGTTTCATGACCGTGACCATCGCAGACTGGAATATTGTGTGGACCATCAGCAGGATTTTGAAAAACCACCCAGACGTCTTCACAACCCCGGTTAACCAAATTATTATCAAGAACGGAGAACTGCTGATGAGAAACGGAATGTTGAATCCAATCCATAGATTGTTTGTATTAAACAAATGCTGCTAAAAATATACTTGATTCCTAGCAGGCTGTGGTTGGTGGGATGTGTAAAAAAAATGTTACGTGGAGAGACGGATATGGGAATGAGGCGACATGTCTGCTTATTTATTTTGTTACCAAGAATAGAGGATTGTTCAGAATAAAGTTTTTTTTTTATATATAGATCGTATAAATCTAAATGTGTCATTAAATGTAGAATTATAATGGCGAATACTGTGGCTCTGCACAATGATCGGCACCATTGCCCATCCCCACCTTGACTGCTGGACTCCTTTGTCTGACGCACTGTACTTGGGCAGGCCTGAGTAATGTGACCCGAAAGTGAACTCAACTCTCACATCAGATCAGTGCGTGAACAATTTAACAAACAAACAAAGTAAAGCTGAAGGTGCTTCCGCCCTGCAACCGCTTGCTCGCGCCAGCGGTGGCGGCTGGTGGAGGCCCTCTCCACTCGAGCGACCTCTCGAGAGCCCCTCGAGAGGGTGGACGACTCCGCCGCGCTGACCTTGACGTCTTGGAAGAATGTAGAGTTACTCACGCTTTGCCCCACCACAACGGGCGACCGACTAACTGTGGTGAACCCATTGATACGTCTGTGTTGAGTAGAGTCTGGGGGTGGGTGGGATTTATGAAACGTAACCTCTGCTGCACCCGGAGATCGAACGAGTTTGGCCTCTGGATTTACAATCGAATAGAAGGAAAATATCACGAAAGTGTTCGGAAAATAATGGAACGCACCAAAACTGCCTTAACCTCACACGGGCATGTATGGACGGCATTTAGGCACGAGTGGAGGAAGGTGCCAATGACTCGGCTTTTTTCCACATGCAGATGCGATACGCAGCAGGGCTGGCCCAACAGCCACAGTGACCACGCAGACAATTCCCCCTTCTCAAATCCGTCTCTCCACACAAAAAAAAAACAAAGGTACATTTTGTACACATCCTGTTAGCCATAAGGTCTTCTGGCAGTGCATTGATGCATCAGTAGCGTCGGTTTAATACTGTACAATATAACTTTGAAAAGTTTTTGACATTCGTTCTCTTCTGCAGTCAAGTATGCTTAAACCAATGCCTGAAATAGATAGTGGCTGGTGGGATGTGATGTGTGAAGGAGGCGTAGGATTGTATGCTCATTTATTGTTACTTTAATTCACAACGACGCTCACCGTTGTGTCCATGTACACAAAGAGTACAGTTCTCAACAATTACAGAAACATCTACTCCATTTTGAACCGTACGTACAGTAATGTGTTTACTTTAATAAGCCATTAGCATCGCTGTTAAACTTCCCAACGGAAACTCATAATTACTGCGGAGATCATAGATGGAGGAAGCCCGAGGTTTACACAGCCTCTGCTTGGGCATTATTCGCTGTCAAGAACTCAAATAACTGAAAATGAGTACCGTGATAAATGCGCAGACAATCCTACGCCTCCTTCCCGTCTCTCCACAAATAAGTATTTGTTTTTACACATCCCATTCAGCCACACAGCCGTCTGGAAATGAACGCTTACAGCAGCATTGGTTTAAGACTGCAAGCTAGCTCCGACGTCTGCTCAGTTCACAGCGCGCACGTCTCACAAGTAAAAAAAAATTGTCCGCTCTTTGTTTGGTGGCAAGCGAATAACGCTGCCAATTGACGGTATTTCTCTGTGTGTGTGTGACCTCTGGGTCACGTTACAGACGGACATACACCCAAGTTGACTTAGTCTTTAAAAGAGACGCATATTTACGCTCTCGCTCGCTCGCACACACACACACGCGCATGCACACGCACTCAGCAGTAAAAGTCACTAAGTCAAATTCCCCCCTTTTCTCTCACCTCCACCCCAGCGCCCTTCCCCCACGCTCACATATAACCGGCTCCTCTGTCGCTCCCAATCCTCCCTCCCCAGCACACAGTGGCAGTCAGTTAATACGTCCTCCTTTTTTTGCATTGAACTGGATTTGTAATTTTTGTATGGAACGCATGTACTATATGCATATATAATTATAGACTACAGTATATGTCAATACTGTAAAGTATATATTTTCAAGACTACAGTTCACATAAAGACTTAAATATGATGTCGTGACAAATAATACGTGTTTCTTTGAGTGTAAGTTTTAATTTAATTTGGTAAAATAAACGAACTTGCTTTTTCAGTATTTTTTTGGGGGGTAAAAACTGGAAGATTTAAATTCAGACACGGATCTTTTCTTGAAGCCGGAGAGAAGACGAGGAAGGAGAAGAAGAGAGAGCAGCGCGCTGGGCCGAGATGGGGGCTCGCGGAGAGAGGGCCCTCCTGGCTCTGCTGGTGATGGTGTGCGTGGTCCCGTCGGCGCCTGTGCTGACAGGTAGGAGGAGGATGCATGCGTGCATTACCACGCTCCGCCAGCTCAGCACCACTCCACCCGCTCTCCTCGCTCGCTCGCTCGTGGCCAAAATTGGGGGAACTCTTTAACATTTTCACTTTTGTTTTGACTTTATCATTATTTTCTCTATTTGACTCCGGCCGATGGGACACTGGATGTAGAACACCGGTGAAGGGTTTTGCTTGCGTTAAACCGATGCGGCTGAAATTATTCACTCCCACAAGGCCGTGTGGCTATTGGGATGGGTAAAAATATATACTTTGTATGTTTTATGTAGGTATAATTCTTCACACCGACGTTAATGATTATTTTGTCATTTGTCTCAAGTGACTTTGAATATTGCCCAATTAATTATTTTGGAATTAAATAATGCAAAAAAAATCCTGAAAAGCTCTCTTAGTCACTAACACAAGTCGTGCACTTGAGGATTTTTATACAATTACAGGAGCACATGCCCATGTACAGTACCTGCACGGTATCTGTACTAGGGTTGCCATCTGGTCGGGTTTAACGCAGACAAATGGCAGCCAGTGATGGAAATTCCACATTGCTGCGACGGAGGTAAGTCTTTCCCGGACTGTCGGGAATTTACCAGGACAGTCCAGGAATCGGCATCTGTGTTTGGGTGGCAAATATTGCATTTGACCGAGATCTGATACCGTTATTGTGGTGACCTTTATGACAGCAGACTGCACAGTTATGCTTAGAGATCTAGGCTGACTGAGACCAATGTCTGGGTTTGGTCTAGACTGGAAAAGGTGGCGATCCTCACCTGTACTTTGCCTATACTTGAGGACGCGCAACGAAACATCAATTAAACACCTCTGAAAGCTACCACGTTACTGAAATAAGAAGGGGCTCATGTAGATGTATTTACGAAGAGTTAATTTTTCCATCGTTATTGAAAACCAGCTCAGAGTGATGGTTGGTACCAGCCCTGGCTATAAGATTGCATCAACCATCTGATTATAAATGAGACCAGGTAGCTCGGCAATAGAATGAGCAGTTTTGCATGAGGAAGGTTGCAAAGCTGCTGAGGTTGACTCAGCCCACCATCCATACGGGGTTGATAAAAGGAGTACCACTATGAGGAAGTCAGCAGTGATTGTGCTATGAATAGACATCATCACAACCAGCATTTATGAATTTCACACATTTACTGGGAGTAACTTTGTCTTCGTTTTCAACTCGAAGCCTTACGAAATGCTGTTCATGGTCGTGCTCTGCGCACTCGTATTCACCGTATATCTACAACAATTCGAAAGCATGGTGTCTTTAAACCTGCGGGTGTATTCACCATACAAATCGAAATTGCCATCAGCGTCACAGTGGATGTTAAAGATCCCGTGGCGTTACTCGCGAGAGTGTGTCATCGTGTGCCGGCGTCGTGGTACAAATTAGAAAAATGTAACATATGACCCTCGAATTGCTCGATTTGAATTTGCACAGCAATCAATAATCGCGTCCTTTGAAAAAAAGAGTCTTGAGACTCAGTGAAGCTTTCCTGGGTGAACAAGCGTAATGATAATAATTATAATTAATATCTTGCCACAACCCTCACATTTACGGGGAAGGTGGAGGCAAACAATCCATAATGAGTTACACAACTGCAATTGTTACAGCGCCAGGATTATTCAGAAGCCACACATGTACACACCCATCACAGTGCACATGCTGTGCACAGCAGGGGGCAGTGCCGCAAAATCCATTGCTGTAGTGTACGACGCTTCCACATCTTTGCTCCCCGCCTTCTCCAATCCGCTCTCTGACCAATTTGGTGAAGTACGGTCAATTGACCCCCACGATCCAGAAGGCGTGGGGAGGCCCTCATGCCGCGGTTGGATTTGACTGCGCGTGCACCACCGCGCGTTTGGAACGCACCGCGAATTATCCGTTGCCCAACGTACGTTGGGCGTAATTAATGTTGGAATGTCCTGTTCTCATGACTTTTTGACGGCTCACGTAGCGTGCGTGCGTCCACATCCCTCTTCCCCCGTGAGCTCCGCTGCCTTCTTCACTCCCGGGGAATTACCCCCCCCCCCCCCCCCCGGGTTCCGCCCGCCCCCCTCTCCCCCGCCCGCTCTGAATCTCCGTCTCCCCTCCCTCGCTGGGGTTTCTCGCACGTTAATGGCAGCGCCTGGAAACTGGAAGAAGCAGCCAATGATGCAAAATCGAGACATTCCATTGCCTTAGTTCCACATTAACGACACCAGGGGCAAGAGACCAGAGACCTCTTCGGCAATCGTGACTCAGACCCTATTGAGGTGGATGGAAATACATAAGTGCACAGCTAGCGACGCTTTTATGAGGTTAGGTTGGGGGAAAAAGTCAAAAGTGTGCGTTATTTCCTGCTCAAATGAACATTAGGCGTTGGTGTGCATCTCCCGTTTACAGCTTCTCCAAGCCGATGGTGAAAATTCCACATTTCTATGGTGTGGGTGAGTCTAATCATAGGGTAACCACCGTTGACTTCCCCACAAAGAGATCATTTGTTTTACAACCACGGAGGGATGATGGGCTGAGTCAGCCTACCCCCCCCCCCACACCAGGATTTGAACTCACGACCTTCCGATTGTGAGCTGCTCGCTTTCCCGCTGAGCCGCAGTTACAACATTGACTTCAATATAGCTGCGTGAAACAAAGACTGGCACGGTTTACAAGTGTGATCTGACAGGGAAGTGCTGTCGAGTTCAAATGACAAATCGTTCGTGTGCCTTCACTCGACGGATTGTCCCGCCGGGATAGACACGACGAGCGTCAACGGTGTCTCTCGGGGGCTCCTGCTAGGAGATGAGCCAGCCTCTCACAAATACGCTGGGGGAATTTGCCTTCCAAACTATCCCCTACTCAAAGCAATGCCTCGAACATGACTGGAGTTTATCTGCTTCTCCTGCATCATGAACAGCTGCTCCCTGTGGAGAACAGAGTTTAATGGCTATAGCAATTGGGGAGTAACTCCAATGAAACTGTCACTATATGTCCGTTTTCCAATGCGTGACTATGTAAGACTAGAATTTATTAAAAAAGATTCAGGGCTCCAAGGTGTATAGTGCAGTCTCCACATATTCTCCACTCTATCTTTCTGGCCTTTACAAATATGTGCTATGATGAAGGGCCATTGCTAAAAAAGTGGCCTGTTATACAATCCACAGCAGCCTCACCAAGTAATTCGACTTTGCACTCGCGTCTCCCGTGGTGCTGTGGTAACTTCCCGTGCCAGTGCCCACAGTGACATTTCAGAGTCACCGCTCCAGGAGTGGAGGGGAATAATCTCGTGCCTCAATCTAACATTGAGTAAACCGCGCCAATTTTTATAATTCAAATATTTAACCTGGAAAGTCCCTTGAGATGGGACATCTCGTTTGCAAGGGCGTCCAGGTGTGGATTGACTCGTACAAAGCAAGCACGTAATGAATGCCTATAAGCCTATAACTTACACAGTACGCGCTCATACGGTGAACATCACGCATAGTCAAGTGCATAACTAACAACACATGTGTGGTAGTCGAGTGGAGCACATCACCGATTCGTGTCGACTACACTCCAGCTGTAACAGTTGCAGATGTTGCGCGAGTGACATTTAATTAAGGAAGCAGCTTCGTGTCTGAGCGGGACGGTCACAAGGCCATGACCCCTGGGAGGTTTTCATTCGAGGGGCTTTGCAATCGGCCAATAAAAAAAGCGTAACGCGCATCTGTTTTCGTGCGCTCATAAAACGACTCTCGCGTTGAACAATCAGAAAAAGCTATACATTTCTATAAGAGGTTTATTTCCTCTGCAGTGATTTTAGCAGAATATTTTTTGTTGTGTGTGTGTGCACATACCCATATTACGTATGTCCCGTGTGCTTGCTTCATTATTATATTATGATTACATCATCAATGACATTATAATAATTATATTGCTACCGTATCGTCCAGGGACTGGCCAGATGGCACAGCAGTAGAGCGAGCGACTTGTAAAGTCGCGACTAACAATCCTGGTTTATGGTTGACTCAGACCATCATCCCTGCGGGCTTATTAAAATGTGTACCACTTTCTGGGGAAATCAACAGTGGTCCTATGGTTAGACTAATTACTGTCATAGGAATGTGGAATTTCCACCACTGGCTCAGGACTGCAAACGGGAAATAAGCACCAATGTATAATAAAAAATACTAATTTGTATAAAAAAATACTAATTTGAGTAGGAAATCACTCTAACTTCGTTTTTAGCCCAAGTTAAAACAATTATTGTCTTTAGCGTTCAGTTGGGAGGCTGTGCACTTTTACATCACAAGCGGCATGTACGAACGCTCATTTGGGCAGAAAAGTTATTGTACCTGTTTTAATCGGAAGTAGTTTTGTCTTTGTGATGTCTTTTTATATATAAGGTGCCATTTTAAAAGCGGTGCTTTGCTTTATTTGAAAGACACATACTGCGGACACTGCCTTGCAAACAGCGTCGTCACAACTAAAACTATTTTGTGAATGAAAACTGCCATGGTCAGGACTCTCAAACCACTGGGCCGGATTATCCCATAGGTGTATTAGGCCCTCATATTTTGTAGGCTCTCCTTTAGGCCATCCGTTCCACATTAAAGTAACAGCTGAGCGACAGCAGCACGGCCATCGGAAATCTTGTTTTCTTTGAATTACAATGACGGCATTCATGACTTTGCCAGAGCTGAAGCTAAGTAATGAGTGCAGAGTGATTTATGTTTGATGAATTTACATTGAGTCGAATAAATGTGTTAATTTTACATGGATAAATAAATACATATGTTTGATGCCTTCATTTTTTTTTTGTTACAAGATGTGATTCATAATGGAGTGCTGGACCATTCCCTCCCATTCGCCTTAGGCCCTTTCTAACCTTTATCCAGCCCTGCCAAGCCACGTGGATTCCAGTTGCAGCAGAATACAATTTGTACCAGCGGGTCAAAATTAGGCACTTATATAACTTAATTAGTACGAATAGCAAAAAACGTAACAAATATAAA